TCTAATCAACACCCGCAGCGGGATTCGAACCGCGACAGTGCAGGAAGCTAGCTTGACACGCTAACCACTCGGCTACACTGCCACGAGTACCCTTGAGTCCTCTTCAAAAACCCTGATTAATGCAACTTAAACCGGCTTTCCTTAAAAAAACTATTGGTCTTTTTAATTATCTTCTGCCCTATTTACGAGGGGCGTCTATCGTAGTTTTAACAGGCATTTCGCCCAAAAGGTAATGAGCAAGATACTGAGCCAATAAGGGATGATGGAATATGAAGAAGTGGATACCAGAATGTGCATATCTTAGGCCAACTTTTCTCCAGGATGACGATAAGATTAATCAGATATCCCAATGAAAATCACCGTTGACTCACTTGAGATACAGCGCACTGCGGCGGCCAGATGGGAACTACACGGAACGCCTTGCTCATCAGCATAAGCGAGGCAGTCGAGCAGGCTAGTTTCGTTGCCGTAGCAGCGCGCAATAATCGCACCCGGTCTTGGTTCATCAAATATTTCGATAATTTCTGTCGGAAACTGGTCCAAAGAAACAATTATAATAAGAACAATTAAAAAGTCGAATTTGCCAGCATGCATTAACAGCTTTATTTAACTAATATGGGAATATGAGATTTAAAATCATTTTGTCGCGAAATTGCTTCAGAAATATGTTCATCCGTAAGTAACCTAATTAAGATGAGTAGTAAAGTTCTAACTATTCTATTTGCAAAAAAGGACGTAGCCTTAGTTGCTACGGCATTTTAAAGATAAGTAATAACTTAAATAATAGACACAAGTTAGCTAAGGTGTTTCTGCATTTAGAGTGGACCTAAGATTCAATTACAAAATGCCTTTTCCCCTTCTTCTGCAGGAGTCCTTAATGAGTTGCTCTCATCCGGAGGCAGATGTCGGAAGAAATCAATCTAGCAATACTGAATAGCAGATTCATCTTCTTTAAAATGAAGTCAGAGCTCTTTTGAGTGTGTATCTGCCATCAGTTTCGGATTGCATTTGGTCAGTTTTCGAGTGGTTGGTTGATTGGGCAAACACTCATCGTCAGATATCTGTATTTTGACGACCCTATGCGACAGAACAACACTTGTGCATCCGCCAACGACGACAGTGTTACGACAAAAGACAGCTCCGTATAGTCTTGCCTCGTAAAGGACTGGATTGTAATTCCGAGACGTAATTTTTTTTCAAATATACATGCGAGCCTTTTGAGAAGAAAGACAAGAGAATAATCGAGGCCGTTAAGAGACAATCCACTCGGTTCTTCGTGTCAGATTCAGCCTACAAGATGATTTAAGGATTGGGAGAAGAATTCGACACGATGAACTGAGTGGATGGCTCTTCGATGCCATTGAGCTCTGACTCATTTGCTTATTTATGAGAAAAAAATATATACAAGTTTTTAAATGACGGCCCAGCTCCCATTTACTCATTTGATTGTATCGAATTCAGCTATAAATCCTTAAATCATCTCGTAATCTGAGTCTGACACTATAAACTTAGTGGATAGTCTCTCAACGAACTCGAACTTTTCCTAGTCTTTTTTCTCAAAAGGTTTCAAAATGTGTATATGTGAATCCAGAGGGAGTAGATATTTGGACAAGGATAGAAAGAGGAGTGATAGCACAACCGTTTAAGTAGAAAGTTAGTTAACTTATTGAGTTAATCTATCTATCTACCTACCTACCTACCTACCTACCTACCTATCTACCTACCTATCTACCTACCTACCTACCTACCTACCT